CCAAAAAAAAAAAAAAAATAGATATAGATGGCAATTAGTGATCCTATTTACCTGACAATATCAAGATCATCCATGATAATTCTAAGCTTAGTTTCCATTGTTTTTAATAATTTAAGTAAACATCCAACAGCATCAAACAATGACTTCCACCTCGTGTCATTTGGTGTTTTTAAATAAATTCCACAATGTTTTTTTATAATATCAGCAGATTTTGAAGACCGGCTTTGTTTATTCCAAAGGGCTATACATTTAGCAAAAGTACTTCTGGATTGTTTTTTGTAATCTGAATTAGTCAAAGCTTTTTTAACATCCTAAGACAAAACATTTTGTTGGATTACTGTTTACATAGTTCAATAAAACAGGCTCATGGAATATTTAATAAATTTTTTTTAATTACCAAAAGGTTTTTTAATACCAATTTAAAATTTTCCATTAGTTCTTCTCTAAATCTCAATATAATAGTTACTGTTGGAGTATTTTTAAAATTACAGTATTTTCATAAAAATTTTAACTAAAAAACAATTTTTTTTTTATTTTAAAAACTTAATAAACATATTCCATGACCCAAATTTTTTCATTATTTATTTAATAATCAAAATTAGTTACTGCTGTTGCAATTAAATTGAGTGTGTGAGCTNATTAGTTACTGCTGTTGCAATAAAATTGAGTATGTGAGCTGAATATCTATGATGCTTTGGTAGTATATAAGGCAACTCAAAATTATTTTCATTTTCCATATCAAATACATTAATAATTTCAGTTGTATCATCATCTATTTCAGACAAATTACTGGGTGAATCAATTAGACTCGTAGAATCCTTTTCATCCAAAATATGATTAAATTCTCTATATTTATTTAATTATTAAAATTTATAAGAAAATAATTTTTTTTTAAATTTAATGATACCTGAAACATTTAACAAAATTAGAGCCATTATCTGTTGTACAAAAATGAACTTTATCAGATATTTCATAACTTGTATAAATACTGTCCATACATTTTGCCAAAATGTCATAAGTATGACTGCCTTCAAGCCTTTTCAGAGCTAGTAAACAATTAGTTCTGGAATTATCTTCATTTATCCAAGTGGCAGTGATGCCAATGTATGACCTATAAACAATAAACACACAAATTAAAAAAATAATAATTGTAATCTTAAAATCACATACATTTTTACTAAGTAAGTGTTAATTTAAAAAAAAAATAATTAGATAAAAGGAAAATCATTTTTGGTTCACCAAGATTTAATATCTCAATAATATGTTTATATTATGTTACATAATATGAAAACTCATTAACACACTTTTTATATATTGACCATGCATCAGCTGTTGTAGCTATATAAGCTAATTTGGACATTTGGGTTTTGAGTTGATTTTTCAATAAATTACAATTTTCAGTAATTCTTTGCATAAGAGTAGGTCGAGACATAATGGATTTTTTTGGAAATCCTCTTTCGATTATATCTTTTAATATTGAATTTTCAATAATGGTAAATGGCAACCCTCCATTAACAATGAAACGTAATAAAAGTTGGTCCAATGTTGCTAAAAAATAATGAAAAAGTAAAACATTAATATAATTATACCATTATAAATAGATATAAATAATAATAAAAAAAATTATTTCACACTATTTTTTAATAGTAATAACCATTAAATGCATTAAATAAATTTATAATATTAAAAGTCATACATCAATACACATTTAATGTATTACAAACTGCAAAAAATAACCATAACATTTTTAATTACAAATAAGTTTTAAATATATTTTAAATTAAATATTTTTTTCAATTAATTAGGCATCATATTAATAACATACTATGTTTCTGTTGCTCAAAAATAATAATTCATAACCAGGCAATAATTTAAATAGTAAATTTATAAATTGTTAAATAAATTTCAGAATTTATTTAGTGTATATTTAGGTACAACCTTTTATTTCTCTAATATAAAATTTTGACACACTTACCTTGACTAGTATATTTCTTGTTTAAACAATCCTCAAGATTTGGTTGATTTGGCTGTAGTAATTTATCT